CCCATCTGTTTTAGTAGGGACATGTTCTGCCCGGTGTTGTAAGGTTCTGATGACTGAGAGTTTGTGTTCCAGATATTACAGGCTAACGATGGAACTAAACGACCCATTCATCGGTTATCATTGCATGTTTCCAAGCAATACAAGGCCTTGTCCATATAAGACTCAAACTCACTGCGGATCCAGACATTTGAATTGAGAAAGCTTCCTGGAGAGGTGGCGAAACGTCTTCAAATCTTGAAAACCAAGTCCAGTGGATATTTTTTGAATTTTTACGGAATGGCTATGACCTTGATGACTGAGAACCTTCATCAGCATGTCAGACAACAAGATATCCAGCTGCATATCCACTCCAAATTATTACTGCTAAGACTGTGGTAAAGCCTCTGACCCAGTGTATTTCTATTTTTGCTATTCCAAAAGTTATCCAGTCTGATCAAGGTTCAAATTTTTCTTCTGATTTGTTTGCTCAAGGCTTGAAATTGTTAAAGGTAAAACATAATTAGCCTTCTGCATACCATGCTCAGAGTCAAGGTGCTCTTGAGAGGTTCCACCAGACCCTCAAGTCCTTTTTATGTAGCTACTGTGTGGAGTTAAACTGGGATTGGGAGGATGATTTACCATGGCTTCTGTTGGCTGCTCATGAGGTGGTGCAGAAGGGCACAGGTTTTATTCCAAATAAGCTTGTTTTTGGACATGCAGTGCGTGGGCCACTTAAACTGTTACATGATGCTGTGAGTCCTTCAGAACCTCCGAGTAAGTTAATTGACTATGTCAATGACTTTAGGCATAGTGTGTATGTGGCGGTGGAACTGACTAGGGAGAAATTGACCTCTTCTCAGGAGAAAATTAAACACATCTATGAACGTCTGTGTTTTAGTCCTGGTAATCAGGTACTCACATTGTTACCAATTGTGAGCTCCCCCTTTCATGCTAAATTTACAGGCCCATTTACTGTCCTGCGTAAGCTGTCAGATCAGAACTATCTGCTGTAAACGCCATGGCGTAGGAAGTCAATACAACTTTACTATGAGAATTTATTAAAACCATATTACACACGGGATTTACAGGTATCTGCTTTAAAGGAGATTGCAGTTTGAAAAGACAGTCTCAGTAGTTACTATAGTGGGTGGTTTGGGTTTCTTGTCTGCACTTGAGAACGATGGGGTAATTCCACCTAGTGAGAGTTTGTTGACTGAGTGTACCACTGGTGGTCTATACCAATCACAACCTCCTAATAATTTTGCATTCATTGCAGTGTCCAAATCGCAGATTGATGCAATGAATGTTGTTTTTGCAGCCTTATTGCCTGGATATCCGCCATATTAGAGGGTTGGATAATGTTGTGGCAGATGCTATATCCAGGGCACCTTGTCCCTAGATCTAATGTACCTTTGTATTTAATTATCATTCCCATTCTTTACAAGTTTCATATAGGCATCTCCAGTGGCTAGAGTGGGTGAGCTGTTGAGGTGGGGATTGAATGGGTGATTGTGGTAAGGGAGCAAGGTCTGCTAGCATGATATTTGCCACCTAGTTCAGTTCAGTTTATTTATTTAGCGCCATTTCACAACACATGTCATCTCAAGGCACTTTAAAGTTCACCAGATCATTCAGTCAAATTGATTTAAAGTTGTTTACCTAAGAAAAAACCAGTTGATTGCATCAACTCATTGACTCTAAGGCAATCCCTCGCACGAAGCATGCTTGTAGCGACAGTGGAGAGGAAAAACTCCCTTTTAACAGGAACTTAGACAAATTAGTCTTAATCTAAAGATTACAATAAGATAAAGCAGGAGACAGCTAAAAAGAAAAAAAAAGAAAATAAACTGACAACTCAAAGAACAGGAACGTCTGCAGCATCTATGCGAAATCTTAAATCTCCCTTTCTATTAAGCATTGGGAAATGGTTTACTGCTAGCCTTGACATTGAAGTTAAAAAACAGTTGCGAAGATATATCTGTTGGGTCTTAAACCTTGATTATAGTTGTTCAGTTGGATTGCTAGGTCCTTTTGGAGTTCCATTAGGGACTAAATTTTTACATGGGGGTGGGGGTTAAATCCCCTAATCCCCTACTGGGATAGGTGTCAACGTCTCACTGTTTGATTTTGTTCTTTTCAGGAAACGGGTAGAGGGGCTGCTAACTGAAAGCAACTGATGGCTGTTAAATACTGACATCCAGTCAGTCACTGGCCCTGCTTGATTTGGCCTCTGGACCAGAACAGGCAGCATTGATTCACACTTCTCTCTGACTGGCTGACATAACTGGGAGAAAATAAATGATTGTTTCTTTGAATCCGCTAGTCTGTCTCCCACTTTTCTCAGTTCCTGTGAGTGGGGCGTGACAATAGAGTAAACTGGAAATTCTTATCTGCGATGGACTGGCGACATGTTCAGGGTGTACCACGCCTCTCGCCTTTAGACAGCTGGAGATAGGCAAAGGCACCCCTTGCGACCCCACTCGGGATAAAAGTGTCAGAAAATGGATGGATGGAAATTTTTATTTGCTACTCTACATAAATATGGCTTTGGCAATTCCTTTATAAATTGGTTAAAAATCTTATACAGCTTCCCAACAGCCTGTGTCAGGACAAATAATGAAACATCTTCCAGCTTTTGTCCACAGAGGGGCACCAGACAGGGATGCCCGCTCTCCCCCTCACTTTTTGCTATTTTCATTGAGCCTCTAGCTGCTACAATCAGACAAACTAATGTGGTTAAAGGTATAAAAGGCATGAAAATAGAGCACAAAATTAGTCTTTACGCAGATGATGTATTACTTTATCACCAGCACTCAAACACTTGCCTCTCTCAAGTAATTAGATTACTACAATCTTTCGAAAAAGACTCAGATTACTCTATAAATTGTTCCAAATCTATAATACTAACAATTAATTGCTGTCTACAGAATTCCATAGGTTTATAACTGCTATCAGGAAATATCAAATATTTGGGAATTACTGTGTCATCTAAATTAGCTGATTTACCAAAACTTAACCACATCCCTCTTTTAAAGAAGATAGAAGAGGACCTAGAAAGATGGAAATCGCGTCCGATCTCCCTTATAGGTAGGGTAGCCTCAATTAAAATGGTCTTACCTAGAATTAGCTACCTATTTTCAATGATCCCCAATAAACCATCACCTGACTGGTTGAAATCTCTAGATTCTTCCATCTCTAAATTTCTTTGGAAGGACAAACCCCCTCAAATCAACTTAAAAACACTACAGAAAACTAAAGACAGAGGGGGACTAGATTTACCCAACTTCCAANTTAGCAAATAGATTACAATACATCTCTAAATGGATAAAACATAATCCCTTAGATGAGCCCTGGATAGACACAGAACAGGAAATATGCAGTAATATCAAAATTTCAGATTTGCCATTTATTAGCTCTAATGTCAACTGGCACTCATGTTTTAAAATATTAACATCAGCTCTTCACTGACAGCATTGTGGGAATTTCTTAAAATAATGAAGTCATCACTTATCCCATGCAGTCGTACATCCACCTAGAATAACCCTGACATTCTACAAAACAATATTATTATAAACTTTCCATACTGGAAGAATAAAGGTATTACATATCTGGATCATTTATTTGAAGGTATGGAGTTTATCACATTTGCAAGTTTAAATATACAATATGGCATTAACAAAAATCAATTTTTAGAATATGAACAAATGAAATCTATAAGTAGAAACAAATTTAATCATATTAAGGGGAGGTTTACAAATTCCAACTAAAATATCAGAGTTTCTAGAGTTAACCCCCCCAAACTACTGTCTAAATTATACAGGACACTGACTAAACTGGATGACACAATATCTCTTCCTATTATTAAATGGGAGGAGGATTTATCAGTCAGCTTTGAAAAAAACATCTGGGCTCAGATATTTCTAAGAACCTTTAACATGATTAGAAACCCCACTTTACAACTAATGCAAAATTCTCCACAGAGTGCACTATACAGGTAAAAAAAAAAAATGGGTGTTGGCCCTGGTGGCCGGCTGGCTCATGGGCCCTGCCGCCTGTCCTTGGCCCCCAAGAATCAGGGGGGGTACTGGCTTCCTGGGAGTGCAGTAAGCCCCCAAGTCCTTTTTTCCCCATCCCCAGACTCTTCCCTCTGCTTGCTCCATCACACTGCCACACATGTACGATCTTGGGGAGGAGGTCGTTACTGGATGGTGCATTTTAGACACTTTCATCTACAGCATTTTAACAACACACATCTATGTAGGGCATTCTCTGGGGGGGTGGGGGCAAGGACACTGTGGGTGGGGGCGGGGACTTTGGGCTCATTTCATGGGCCTCACCATGGTTGGCTCCCCCCACCCCCTCTCGAATTTAGATATTGAGGGTTCTGGGTTGTCGATTGTGGGGGTCTGCTGGCACCGCCTGACACCGCTCCCCACAATCTGGATTTCACTTACTGGGTCATCCGGTAATCCTGGGCCACTGGCGCTGCCAGGTCCTTGATCCTGGGATTATTGGATGCTAGTTTTATGCTTTTTTTTTTTTGTTCCTCTTCACACAGACTGTGTGTTGCAAGTGGGGGCACTAGGGTGGGAAGGTGTCATAGAGACTGTGTGTTCTTTTTTCTTTTGTTTTTTGTTGTATTTGTCAGGTTGGGGCCTGACTGCTCCCTCTTTCAAGAACATCTCAAGTCTCCGCTAAGTGGGGAGCCCATTCCCCCCATCCCGGCACTGGTGGTGCCCAGTGTTTGGGGGTGGATGCCCGGGTGGGTTCTGGCATATTCATGGTGGCTGCCAACCCAGTCTCATAGGAAATTGTACCCCCACTACGTTGGTCCACACTGCAAAACGTAGTGGAGGTACATTAATGGCCATTTTTTTGTGGTACGGTTACATTTCTTCTGCCTACACGCTTTCTATTGTTTTACGTCCTAGTCACGTGACTTTCAAGATTCCAGCTGGGAGAAGAAAAAAAACATATATATGGCCAACATTCGCTCATTTTTTTGTGTNTAGATATGCTTTCTGAGGTATTCACAGAATACAGTGAATAGTTTCAAATGAAGCATGGTATCTAAACATAAGAAGTATGTGTTGTGTTTGTTCTAGCAAGCAGGTGAGAGATCAAGGTTTCCATTAGTGAAAGATATATATTTGAAGGACATATCTTTTATCCTCGCTGCAATAATAAGTTATGAACCATCATTGTTATATTTGACTTCTGTCCTTTACCGTCTTCTTTCTCTCTCTGAGATTATTTGAAATGTGAGGTTTGAATTGTAATTCCGGCCACTTGTGTTGAGCGTTCACCTGTCTAATGCTACTGGGTCAGTGCAAATGAAGGAGAGGCAACAAGGAGAGGCGAACAGTACACTGCTAAAATAAATAAATAAAAAAACTAATGTGTAATGTCAGTGAGTCCTGTTCTTTGCTACACGTGGATTATTCCCCATAAAATTTATCTTTATTTCAATATAGATAAGACCTTTTCTATTCAGTACAAATATACATGGATTTAATTATAAGATATGTCTTTTTTTTTCTTCTACTCTTGTGAATCACGAAGTGCAAAATGAGGTTGGATCTGTGAAACCACACCAAGATAACCTCTAGTCCAACAGATTGAAGTTCTTCTAAAGCATTTTCACCATCTGCATTCACTTTTAAATCGGCTATGAAATGCACCTTTGCTGCTTTCCGCAGTACAACTTTTTGTTAGCGGCTGGAACGAGCAAGAAATGTTAAGGTCAGCTTTTAATAAATGTGTGGTTTAAACCTATTGAAACTTGACACAGCTTCATGTAAATGTATACCTCCTGGGGCTTCTAAGCACCCTGCCACAACCACCTCTGTAGGAGAAAGGCCACTGTGCGATTGTCCAAAGTTAGCCTGTATGATAGACAAGTAGTTGCAAGCCCTTGCTCCTTCTGTTTTAAACACTCAAAGGAAAATCTGTTTTGATTAATGTGGCTGAATTGAAACTCAAATGTTTAGCAGTGACATAATCATTGCTCCTACATTGCAAAAGAAGTACAACAATGCTAAAAGAAACTAGGATCCAGGGGTTCTTTCCACATAGGTCATGCAACAAGTTGAAATCTTACCACCACGTTTTTAGGCGCAGTTTTACAAAAATACATGCATCGTGTTAGTATTTGGATATCATTTTAGTCAACAAATATAAGATTGGCTCTTTGTTATTATATTTTATGGCAGGTCTGCAGATGTCAATAAAATAAAAAAATGTGGTGCTCATTTGAGACTTGTCAGCGACTTCCACATCAAATACACTTTGCTTGTTGGCAGGAATGCTGAGTAAAGACTCACGGAAGTCTGGCTGATGCAGTTGGCACCATAGGTTAAAAGAATATAAAATGTGAAAAGAATTTTTTATATGAAGTAATAAATCAGTCCCCAAGTGATACATGTGCACCCGTGCTATTCAAAGCACAAAAAGTAGAAATGTTAGTAAAGATTGCATGTGCCTGTACAGGCACACACACTTTCTCACAATATTATTTCATATAATTTCCCAAACATTTCAGACATTTTTTTTATGTTTTCTTAAAAAAACAGTCTTCAATTAAAATATTTTTTACACTTTTAAAGAATTGGATTATTCTTTACTAAATAAAGTATTTAGATATATTCTCAGGATTTCATTTCAATCCCTTAATGATTCTTTCTCGCAACAGTCTGTCACTTTTAAACAGTTTGCTTTTAGCTGTAGGCATATCAGCAACAGTCAGGTTTCAAATGCTGCAGGAGTCACCCTACTGCTGAAAAAGAGTAGTGGGGGTATTTAAAATCCAGAAAACACAACAGGCAAAAGTTCTTATTAGGTCATTTTATGATGATCTATCATCATGAGGGCTCCCATCTGAGTTTTCTGTCTCCCCTTCAGAAATGGCTTGCATGGGCGCTGTGTAGAGGCGACTGCGTGTACTGTAGCGGCTGCTGTTAGCAACCGGGGGGATCCGGGAACGTCCCTGACGAGATGCAGCCGACATAGGAAGGGTTTTAGGAGTGAAACTCTCTGAGATGGCCCGAGGAAAAATTCCTGGTATCTGGATTGGGTCCAGACCAGAGACTGGAGGCTCCTGTGACATAGAAGTTTGCTCCTCTGGCTGTCTAAAAGGACCTTCCTGAAGGGACTCCCCTGGTGTTTTGGGGGTGATGGGACTCTTCAGAATCTCTGTTGCTGACATGCGATAGCTAGAATCAGACCTGCTACCTTTCTTTAACAAAAGAAGTTTAAACTCCTCATTTGACGTGCTTGATTTTTTAGCACTGCGATAGATGGGGACAGGGCCTCTTTGTGACCCAACAGCATTGGCTAAAGTAACTGGAAAGTTCAGAGGTGGTGCTGGAGGGATAACACCACTGGAAACATTACTGGGAGTTATAGCTGCAGCAGGGCAAAGACGAGACTTCAGGTTTATGTCTCCTGAATCTTTACGGCCCAGAACCTTCCTCTTGGATCTGGATGGAGGGATCATAAAATAATACAAAGTTATATTTACAGAGTGAATAAGCAAACAGTAAAAACAGTCAAAACTCACACTGCAGCAGATGCAGTTAAGAGACGTGTAAGCAAGACACTGACTGCACAATTTACAATACCTGTGTATCATGGCAAATAGGTCTTCCGTTGTACGACTCTTGTTAGGGGATGTGATAATAATATCGTCATCCACTTTGGTGTCCTCCGTCAGGGGAGAAAGTGAGTTGTCACTGGGTGTGGAATCTGCGGAAAACAACACTCCTGTAATTGTTTAAATCTAGTTCTCTGAGACATTACACTTATGAAATGAAATGCCTCTAAACCCTTGGAATACCTAATCCTAATTTATTTATTATGCGAATTTTTTTTTTTTTTTTTACATATCTAAAAAAAAGAATTTCCTGTTGATGTTTAAATGGGATTTTCGAGATCTGCTGCCTATAAAAATCACCTATCTTTTTCTCTAGAAGAACAATGTTTGCGAATACAAAGAACAAAAAAAAAAAAATCACAGAAAAAAAATCAAAGAATTGATGATCATATGTCTAATAAGAGCATGTCTAATAAGAGCACTATTTTTTTTTTTTTTACAAAGGATGAGAAGATATAGTTATAGATCTGGTTACACCATAATATTTAGCATTTTTTTCAAACCATTACAGACTCGAGGCCAGCCTAGTGCATCTTTTATGCTGAGACTTCCTCTGCAATGAGCAGTACACAAACAAATCAGTTTGATGGAGTTTAATAGCTTACCTTTGCTAAAGTAATCCTCAGTATCAGGAGTGGTGGAGTCATCTTTGCTTTCCTGGAGTGGGTGCTGATGGGCACTTCGGGTAGCACCTGATTTTATTTCCTTCTCCTCTTTCTGCATTTCTTGTCCTTTTCTGGCATCGCTGATTGAGTAAGGATGCGATGTCTCGGTTGTGTTACCAGGCACTTTAACAGGACTAGCCCATGGCCCTGAGTTTAGATGGGATCCTCCAGCAAATTCATATGCTGGGGGAGGAGGGTGGTCTGATCGAATTCCTCCTTTGGAACATGCAGCTCTGTGTAGTTCTTTCACCTGCTCTTCCTCCTCATCTTCCTCCTCTTCATCATCTTCATCATCATCCTGGGAGAAAGAGCGCTCCCCCAAAACTCTAAACTCTGAACGAGCATTTGCTGAGTGGGTGAGCCCTCTGAATTCTGCGTGTGAGTGAATATGTGTGTGAAGATCAACAGGGGAAGGGTGTGGAGCACGTGGAACTGGCCTATGCAGGGGTGAACTGTCTTCAGAGAGGTCTGATGAAGGGTCCATCCTTGTTCTGAAGGCAGTCATAGCCCAAAATGTTCCTGGCCCATAACGATCCTGCCTTAGAAGCAGACTTTCATAGGATGGAGGTCCATCAGGATGGCGACCAGGTGGAGGCGGCTGTGGACGTTCAGGAGAGGAGATATGGTCATGACATGGGGGTCTTGGAGGTGGTCTTCGAGGAGGAAGTGGCCTGGTATTAACAGGTGGAGGAGCTAGAGTAGAGCCACTGGGAGGACATTTTGGCCTTGTTACAGTCTCAGCTCCATTTGCTGTGTCCTGGTATGTTATGGAAGTACTCTGTGGCTCAGCAAATTGGCTTACTGGATGAAGCTGCACAGAACGAATTGTAGATGGAGTTACTGGCAAAACATTTGAGCTTGGGTTTGATAAAGCAGAGCTTGAACTTGTTGGTGGGTTGGTATTAGTTACTTCAGGGACTGATGTTTTTGGTCCACCAGATAAGACATTTGCAACTCTGTGTTTGCTATGGTGTAAGGTGTGCATGTGGTATGCTCGGTGAGATAATGTGTGTCTCACATAGCCTCCATGTAGAACATTCAGATCAAGTTGTGAGGGTGGAGGTGGAAAGTCTGGATCTCTCTTATTACAAAATGAAATGGAAGCTCCATCTCTAGGAAATTGTTGTAAGGAAGAGAGAGATGACTTCCTTTCTGGCACTTTAGGCTTTCTCTTGCCAGCTGAAGGGGACAGTGGTCCTGGGAAGAATGCTGCTGATGATGAGGGTAAAGTTGATGTTGGGGTTTCAGACTGACTGGAATAACCGCTCGATGGTGAAGCTAGGCTAGCCAATTTTTCAGGTGACCCAAGCTTATAGTCCCCAGAGGGGAGAGATGGGCTGCTTTGCTTGGATTCAAGAGTCTGGGCAACAGCCTGGGGAGGTGTCTCTGTGGAAGAGGAAGAGCTGTCTGGTGACTTCATACAATCCATAATGGTGGTGCCTGTGGCTGTGCTTGAGTTCGACATTGATGCGTACTCTCCATTGTTAGACTTTAGATCACTGTTGTGAAGCCACAGGTCTGCATAGTCAGATTGCACAGCACCCTCATCCTTAAATGAATGTGTATCTGCAGAGCTGAAGGACATTGGCTCTACTACGTCCATGGCTCCCCCCAGTCCCATGCCCCAAGTTCCCAAAGACTCAGAAACTAGACAAGATGACTGTAATGGTTCTGGGGCTACTCCAATTTCCAGGTCCAGTTCCAACTTCATATCTGTGGAAGACGAGGTAAGTTCTTGCTCATTAACGATCTTTGGTTGATCCTTATCTGTTTGTGTGTCTGTTCCAACATCAACACTAATACTGGCTTCCTTTAGTGAGGAGGTTCGCTTTGGCGGCGGAGGTTTGACTTTTGATTTTCTTAAAGGACGAAAAGTTCTCCCTAAAGTCATAGTGCCTGTTTTTAACTCAAGTGATGATTGAGGATAACTGCCGCGGGATAATCGAGTTTCCAAAGTGTTGGACTGATGAGAGTCAGGCCCTAGGTCTGCATAGTTACAGGTGTATTCTTTGTAAGTTTGATTATATTCCCCAAAGTTTACAGAGGATGAGAAGTAACCCTCTCTATCAGATGGGTAATGAGAGTCAGGCTCTTTTTCAGTATTGTTTTTCTGTTTATTAAAACATGTTTGATCATTAAGGCCTTCTTTTGAGCTGTATTCTTGAGGAAATCTGTGGCTGTCACTCAGCTTTTGAGTGTGTTCCAGGTCTTGGTCTGCATCGGTCTGGTCTTGGTCAGGGAGGTACGCCCACTCCCCTTCACTGGCTGTGCTGACCCCTGCATCATCAAGCTGGTCTGTGGCTGATGATGTAAAAGAGCTTGATCTGTGGCCTTGACTCTGGGGCCTGAGGTCAGAGTGGTAGGAAGGATCGAGGGAAAATCCCTCATCGATAGCATTGGCAGCTGTGTTAAGTGATAGCTCTGAATCACAGTGAGAAGAGCCTGTTAGGGGTGGAGATGAAGGTGGGGGGATGGTTTCAGATGTCTGTGAGGGGCACGTGGAGCTGGAGCCACTCCAGTTACCACTTGATGACTGGTGGTCTTCCTTGTGATCCACGTGGCTGCCTAGAACTCCTGTAGTAGACACTGAGTGAATAGGACTACTAAAAGTATCAGAACTGGATGAGATTTCACAGCTACCCATGTCAGCCTTGCGGGGCAAGCGAGAACGACCCCTCTCCATCCAACTGGGCTCTGGACTTCCACCTCCTCCACCCACTCTGTCTCTTTCAGTAGACCTCTGTAGTCTTTTTAGACTTCCAAGTTGCAGTGGCTCAGGGGCTGCCTGATCATCCGTGCTCTCTTCTTCATCCTTCATCATCATCATCTTCATTCTGGGGCTTGGTCCTGATGGAATGAAGTCCTCACCTTCGTAAGGTGACAATTCTTCATCTTCATCATCATCATCATAGTTGTCATCATCGTCTTCATCACTGTCCATCAGACGTCCACCCTCTCTTGGAAGGCTACGTGAACGCAACCGCCCACCATGGCTGGAGGACGGGATGTATGGGAAGTCAGACTGGTCTCCCAGGGATGAAATGTTACCCGTGGAGTGGGACAAAGAGGCAGGGATACCTTGATGGTTACGCTGAGCTCTAATGCGCCTTCGGGAGGGAGCAGCTGTGCCTAAAAGGCAGAATGAAATGAGATAATAACAGGGAGATAATTTAATACTGTCTAAGTTTATAGATATAGGTTGAACGTGAATGTAAATATGCATTTTTGGTATTCTACCAAAGCAATGGCCATAAACCTTTAAGGATCAAATCAAACAATTTCCTACTAATTTGTTCAGCTAAGGCATCTGTTTCTAATTTAGTTTTATAAACTGCAGCCTCACTCTCTATAACACCAAATGATCTGAAACATACATGCTATAAGGAAATCATCTGTCTGGCAGCCAGAGTCACGAGTGTGGTGGAGACGCCCACTAATTGAGAGGTCCTCTTGACAAAGAGAAAGCTGATGTGAATTGGCATGGATGATCACTGTGCGCTCTCTTGCCACAGGTGATTCATCTGAGTCTGAAATTAAATAAAATGAAGAATATTGACATTTTTTCAGAATGAGTCTTATTGATCCTAATGTCAACCTATATATATATATATATATATATATATATATATCTGCATTAACATACCCATGTCATGTTGTACCCGTTTGGGTATTCCTGTGATAGTCTTTCTCCTCCTCAGCTTCCTCCTTCTCTGAAGAACCGACTGGGAGTGAACTAGTGAGCAACGGGCACTGGCCTCTCTGTCAAACCCGACTCCTGCTTTGACGACAGAGAAGCCAGTAGACATTTAAAATTCTGAAGAGGGTAACATGAGTTGCAACAAAGGAAAATTTGAATCCAGCTATACATTTTCATGTATGACTATGTATCCAGAAGGTTTACTAGAACAGAAAATATATTTATTGATATAAATAATTTATGCAATCTCTGGCTATCTACATCTATACACTAACCTTCATGAGATAACTACTCACCCCAACACAACTGCTTTTATTAGATACTGTATCTCCAGAATTGTTAGTGGGGTGAATGGAAAGACTTGCTTTTAGTCTTGACCACAACACCAATGAAAACTTGTATTACAAGCTAGGCCTGGGCGATAAACTAAATATATATATTGTTACTGTTATTCACTCTGATAACAATTTTCCCATGCCGGTAAAATAAATAAATGTAATTTTGCTGTTTTGCCTGTATGCGCTTATAGCTGGTATTTCCTTTCCCTTTAAGACACCTCAGCATGAATGTAATTACATGGCTCCACCAATTCAGTCAGAAGCGTAAACAAAGAGGAGTATTAGCCCAGTGAAGAAGTGTCTAACACAGCTATAAATGAAATTACATCAGTTAATCCTGTGGAGCCAAGTGAGAGCAGAGATGAAGCTGGGTGCGCAGAGAAGTTGAGAGCGCATTGTCAGAGTTAACGGGGTAGACCGGTTTGAGTGAAGGTGTGCGAGTTTAAACGATGCACATTGTTCTCAATGCACGTTCAGTTTGGTTGCACCAAAATGACGCCATAGATATTGAGCAAAAGTACAGGAAATGCAAAGTTTGTCTGAAAACTATCGGGTTTACCTAAAGTAACACATCCAACCTCCACCACATACAGCACAAACACTCTGTTGAGCTCAAAGGTTTGTAAAAGGCTGCATTATTTTTGTGCAAAAATGTTTGCAAGAGAGGTAACATTTTTCTCCTGTTCAAGGAGACATTGTTGAATGTTTAAACCTGAATGGGTACGAAACTTTACTATTTGATTGAAAGTAACATGTAACATATTGTCCAGCCCTAGTGCAAGCTTAAGAGTGTGGTTCATGCCAGAGTGACCGATGCAATTACACTGCCTGACTTGCAGCAAATGCTGAGTGGGATTTCCTTACTCAGCAGTGTATGACCAAGCCTTACCAAAATGAGGGGGAGCTGACAGGCTGCCTTTGGTATTTACATTTTTTCAAGCTTTTGTCTGTTTAATAAATAAATTGTTAAACTTCTAACATGTCTTGCTAATTTAAACTTCAACCCTCCATTCAAAGCAAAAAAAACAAACAATTCTTGGCAGAATCAAATGTTTGGGACTGGCAGAGGAGGTTTTTGCAAGTTTTTGAGCACAGCCTAGATTTTCAACTCCACTGTCAACCCACAAATGCATATTCCTAAGAAATGGTGCAACATTTAAAATGAAATGAATAGGCCTATGTTTTATTGTCAAGATGTATTGTAATTAAGAAATACTTGACCAAGCTCCACTTACTTTCAGTGGTGAGTTTAGTTCTATGGTTCTATGGTTAAGATCCTATGTGTCTTTGTATATTTTTTGGTCTTTGTATATTTTTTATTTCCTGCAATTTCCTCTTTTTAAGCATCAGTTTTAAACATTTGCCTAGTTATACATAGATTCCTTAAATGATTTACAGAAGTCTGGATCAGTTTTACTCAAATTTCTCTGTTAAGTTTACCTGTAACATTTATGGGGATAATGCAAGAGGACACAGCTTGAGAATCGTCATTTGCCTTCTGATCTGATGGCGGGATGTTTTCCTTTGAACAGTTTGTTTGTTTATCTTGGGCTGAGGGAGTACTGTGGGTTAAGGCCTTGGCTGTTTGGCCTCCAGTGACCTCAGCCCTTTCTCTGTTCTCTGTCGATGTAGCCTAGAAGAGACATATAAAGCATTACATGTGTTGTAGATTTGAGAGACTTGAATGTGGACCTTTTTACATTTTGAGAAGATGAGAAAAAAGATGAAAACAAAACAAATATTCTGGATACCTTTCTATTCCATGGAATGAAGATGCAACCTTCAATAGTGTCAAGTGAGTAAAAGCACTCAAACTATGAACACAAAATACAACAACAAATAAAATTGAATAAAAGCAAAACCATGAGTCACAAAAAAGCTAAAAATAATGTAAGCAAATCAAATTATTTAAGAAAATTAAGAAGTGAAAAATGAATAACATACAATCCTAATCTTTTAAAGTGGATTTATTAAGCATCTTTTTTTTTTACCTTCCTTTCGATTGTTTTCATATCTTCCTCTCTAACAGGTTTCTCTTGTAGCTTAAACAAAAAGAAATAAAATATAAATATTGCCTCTTAATTTGCAAACATTAGAAAAATAGGCAAATAATGACTGTAACAATGACTGCACTTACCTTTCTCTCTGTAGTTTGCATCTCTGTTTCTTTCACACTCCTCTCCTATGGGACATTCAGAATGGATATCAGTGTTAAAAATGGAATACCTAAACTTCACTGATTTAAATAAACCCAATTCTAGTACAACCACACTAAAAGTTACCCACAAAAGGTTTAACCTCAGCTGTTCATTATGAATCACCAATCAGTAACACCAATGAGACAGCATAAAGCCCAATGTTTGTTTCTGTTGGTGAAACAGTCCTGTTAGATTTGTGTTGCTATGTTGATTTGTTTCAGTGTAAAGCTACGATTGTGGCATGTGGGCTAATTGTTGGAGTTGGAGTGCACCTAGTGGTCAAATTTTGCTTCTTTACCAAAAATGCTCACTGGATTGGAAGGGAAAATAACATAATTTGTATTAAAAAAAGAAAAAGCTGGTACAAACACGAACCTTTCGTGGTTGATACTCCAGTTCTCGTTCCCTCTCTGCTCTCTCTTGCTGTAAAGCAACATTAGAAACAAGGGTCAATTTGATTAAAACAGGTATTATATTATGTCATTAAAGCAGTGAATATGATCAAGGACATCATAGTTTTTGGGAATCAAAATGCACAGCAATAGTTGTCAGAAGGTGTAATGCTAAAATTCCTCTAGCACCTCCACTTGTGATATATAGACCTTGTTTTGCCATGTTACTCTGGACTAAAGCAGTACCAAGACCCTTTCAAATTTAGTGCTCTTGTCTTATTCTTATTTATTTCAGTTTGGAAAATGAAATTCAAATTATTTTTATCTGAATTTGATACAAATTTACAACGAGAAAGACTTTGTATTTAATTGTTTGTATTTTAAAATATAAGCTAAATAATGTATATTGACTCAACATTGACTCAACATTTAAAATTAAAATTTGCACTGACTAACATTGTTTTTTTCTCTAGGTTTTTTTTCCCTTTTGTGTTTAAGGTATCCAGAGGCCAGTTATTTCTGTGTTCTGGGAAAGATATAAAGCAGCTGCTATAGAAAGTACTCCCAATGATTCCGGGTTTAGCTGGTTGTCCATATATAAAACTACTGCTCTTTATACTCTATATACTATTTTTATATTATGGAAAATACATATAGCTCGCTGCTTTTGCATTTAGCCTTCATGTCTCCTAGTCCTTTAAACTGGTCTGTTTCTGTTTGTCAAAAGGGAGTTTGTACTAGCAGCTGTTATCACATCCTCGCTTATACAGAGAAATTGGTTAACACAACACTAAGGGCAGGATATTATTAGATTGTTTTTTTTATTAACTGATTTTGAAAAATCATCTTAATTGTACCTATTGTATTTTAAGTTTTATTAAATTTACTGGAGGTGGTTGGTTAAGACTCTGGATTAGATTGTGTTTATGAAAATCATTGATTAAGGGTATAGTGGAGGATGTTCTTTTTCCGGGTGGATCATTTAATAAGTGGTCCTTCTAATTGTCAATCATTCTGGTGATATGTTTATGGAAGGCCGTCTTACGTGCTTGTCTCCATTTTCACTTATGGTGGTGAGTCTGACATAGTGAAAAAATTGCATATCTTCTTTAGGGAAAATAAGTTTGCATGAGCAAACAGCAACTTTTGAACAGAGCCTGCATGAAGAGAAATGGGCTTGTGCATGCTCTCGCATACATTTAATAGGCGTTTAATCTTTTTAAAATGGTGAAGGCTTTCCAAAAAAATTGTGAAAATCCTCCATTATGCCTTTAACATAAAACTGAGACCAAATTCATATATAACTACAATGGGACCTGCTTGTCAAGGAAAGCCTCTCAAATAACATCCGATGTAAATCTGCTTTACATCAAAAGAAACAACTTATACTGAGATAAAAACTTCCAGGTTGGGATGTCTGTAAAATCCTTGCCTATGAATGTAATAAATACCAAAGGCCTCTACTAGGTTCTATTTGTTCTATGTAAAATTCTGACCGCTCGTGCAAGCCGACTTCTCTGTTGCCGGCGGATGCTGTGCGGTGAGGGAAACGTAGGCATGGGTGGGGCCACGGAGATGGAGATGGTCACCCTGTTTCTCTCCCGGCTTGAGGAAAGCTGATGTTGTTGTTCTTCTGTGGATCCAAACACATACAGGAAAACTGACCATCTGTAGATAAAAAGCACCAGCTATATCGTTGCTTTGCACCAGTCGTGTTCTTACCTTGATGCAGAGCTCTCAGACTCAGCTGAGCATTTCTGTGAAGCTCCTCCAAACACGGCGGTCTGGTAAGGGGGTGAAACACATTGTGTTGCTGGTGCCATGGGGCCTGATAGTGCACGGACAGCTTACTCTCTATATCCAGGTTCGACACCGCTAAACGGAGAAAAAAAGGGCACAGACCACAGATAGGACTCATTAAAGGTGAATACTGACACAATAGATCACGGCCTCTTATTACCTGATATAATGCCTGAGATTATTTTAATATTATCTATAATTATTCTCTCTCTTTATTTTTTAATTGGTTTATCCCTTAACATCTGAATCTTTTATTTAAAGAAATAAATGTCCCTTTATTTTTTTGCCTTAAACATCTATTACATTATGTTTGCCCTTATAAGGTAATAATGAGCCATTATTAAGCCCTTTATATGTACATTTTTTAAATATAATTGTCTTTTCACAATAAAAATAAAAGGAGAGAGTTTCAAAGGATCTATCAGTGTCATCTTCAGAGAAAATAGATCATTCCTGTGTCTAGAAAAAGCCAACCATGTAACCACTCTGACAGTGATACTGTGTAAACACTAGGGGCTGTATGGTACACCCAAAAAGCAAAATAAATTATTTTTAACCAAAACTGCAATTGAGATCTTAGTTAGATTTTTCTCTTCTCTATTTACAAGCATCTACATATTAAGGCTAAATTCTTTTATGGTTCTATGGACCCACTGCTCTCTTTTTATTGTGCACTTTTACTATTGCATGGAACAGGGCTTACTTCTACCATGGGGAACTGATCTGAGAGCTCACTGCAATTTTTTTTCCCCCTCTGTGGGGCTGTTGACCAAAGCACCTCTGCAATTACAAAATGTATTTATTTCTATTGCGGTTATATTGCAAATACATTTGCAATTGCGCAGATTGAGTGAACACCCACAGAAAACATAACTCAAAACTTATTTTGAATACTGTAAAGTAACCTTTGACCGACTCAACAAATTACATCAACAAGGCAAAGCTTTAGGTTATTACTTTAAGACCACTGCACCATTACCGGTATCGGGCAGGGGCCCAATCTAGCACTAAAATGGTGGTATCGGTATCAGCAAGTACCAGCAAATAGGGCACCAATACTATTTTGAGAGCCAAAAGTTTAATCAACTAATGTCACCCATTCTAGGTAGGCAATAAAAAGCTATACTGTATTCACTTTGTATTTAATCTTTTCCTGCTTCACAAAGGTAGGCAGCAGCTTGACAAACCATGATGGCAATTATTTTACATCCAAACACGTAGCTTGCAGTTCTTCATATATACACACACACACATCAATTTCAAACAGATGGTATCAGGTATCGGTATTGTATCGGCCAATACTGCACAGCCAGGTAGCGGGTATCGGTACAGGTATCGGCCAATACTGCACACCCAGGTATCGGGTATCGTTTAGGGGCCAAAAAATGGCATTGGCACAACACTATTTAAGACAATGATATTTGGAATATGACGTCTTAACTTCTGATTTTTTGCAGATGTGGAACATGCCTTCACTTCCCCCAAATGATTATATTGAATATTAGACATTTCCAAAAGTGATCATTTCTCCATCAAAAGCAAATTAAATACTGAAGTGACTTATAATGTCACTGTTCCTCTAAAGTAACCGAAACTTCTGCCTAGCAACAGTATATGTATCTTCTCTTTTCTATACTTTTTATAATTTAAACTTTCATGTAGGCTACTGTCATTGGCTTGTCTCTACTCACCCTATAAGCAAATAAGATGGAAGAGAAATCTTCAAACACATATCATGAAGGAATAATCAATTGTGCCTATATAGCCCAAGTGTAATAAAATGACTCAAAATAAGCGCTTTGTAATTCGCTTTTACCTGTGAAAAACTGTGCTTTATTATAACAGACACATGCAAGTCTTCTAAATTAGAACATAATACAACATAATGTTGTTTTTCAGTATTTATTTATTTTTGGTCCAAATAAAGGTTGCAGCAATATTTGGCACCAGAAGGTGGCAGCTAAATCCACCCATAACACCCAAACATCCATAAGACTGTTAACCTCTCTGTCCCACACATTTGGTTATTACCAAAATAAATTATTATAAGTAAACAAAAGCCCCTCAGCCACCTTGAAAGGCAGATGCATAATAGTCTCCATGGTAGGAAGAGGAGGAAGAGATGGACTGTGATTATCTATCCCTCTTATCTTCTCTCAAAACTCATCTGGCTTTATTTATGAGTCCTGTCTCCCCTCTTTTAACCTGATATTCAACATGTAATTGTGTCCTTGAAAGCCACATTGCAAATCAGTAGCCAAGCAACCTTTCATTGCTCATCAAGGCTTTTATTTGCTGCCAATTAAATCACTGAGCTCACATCAACAGCTTTGGGTTGATTGAAACTACAAGGTTAGAGCGGTTCATTTACAAAACATAAACAGTTACACAGCTTCCTGCCCTAAAGAGGGTCATGTTCCTTTAATATTACATTCAGTTTAGTATAAATACAACAAGGTAAAGCAGTAGATGGTAGCTTGAAGATATTGTTTCCTTTTCAAAACTGTCATATTCAGGTAAAATTAAAGTTTAATTTTAGATTTGTTAGAATAAATTTATCAAAAGAAGTTTTAAAATTTCTTTTACAATTTACCATACCTCTAAAAATGGTTGATTCCTTTGACATCTTCTCCACATTCATTTGTTAGCAAGATTAAAAGAATATTAAGCACATATTCCCAGACATTAATTTATTTTTATGTTGCAGATTCTTTTTTTTTTTTTAGTTTTAATGTTGCTGAAGATTTTTATCGTTGTAGCTTTTTTTAAATCCTGAAATATAAGGTGTGGATTTAGCAGAAGTTTGGAAAAATAGCTTTAAATTCCAACTTTACACTAATAGTAAGGATTAAGAACTCATTTAAGTGTTCTAAGATACTATATATGTCTATTAAATATTTAACAGGTTTCTTTGTAACTAGTACCATGGTGCTAAAAAGCAGGTCACAGAAAGATTCAAAGAATAAATCTTATAAACATTGGCAAAAACAGTAAAGCTTATTCATAACTCTGTATGATCTGCACTTCAGCAACTGTGTTGCACTTAATATTCGTAAAAGACACAAGTGACCACAGAATTAAGCTGTTAAATTTCTACCTATCATCTTATTGCTTATTTTTTCTCCAACTGTTTCCCCCATCGTTGTGTCTGTGGATGCAGTGTCAGCAGCTTTCACTGTCATCATTAAGATATACTCAGAGCTCCAGCAGAGGCACACAAAGAAATTCAGGGACTTAAAAAAAACATTATTAAGACGATAAAATATAAGAAA